AATAGAAAGAAAAAGGCATTTCGGATAAATCGCCCGAAATCTGTGATGGTACACCTTTGGAATCTGCCAAAAATTGACCCGGAATAAATCCGCCCAAATCGGTGCTTAATGGACTCAATCATCGTTGGAGAATAGCCTCAGGCCGAATCCGTGATCTGTAGCCTTCAATATCCAAAGAAAATGGCCTTTCGTCACACAAGAAATTACGAAAATGCCATTCGAAAATAAATTGGCCCAAATCGATGCTTAACGTACTTATCATTCGTGGAGAATAGGATCAATAGACTTCATTATCGGTGGAGAATAACCTCGGCATGATTCCGTGATCTGTAGTCTCCAGAATCGAAAGAAAATGACATTTCGGATAAATCGCCCGAAATCTGTGATGGTACCCCTTTGGAATATGCCAAAAATTGACCCAGAATAAATCCACCCAAATCGGTGCTTAATGGACTCAATCATCATTGGAGAATAGCCTCAGGCCGAATCCGTGATCTGTAGCCTTCAATATTCAAAGAAAATGGCCTTTCGTCGCCCAAGAAACTACGAAAATGCCATCCGAAAATAAATTGGCCCACATCAATGCTTAACTGACTTATCATTCGTGGAGAATAGGATCAATAGACTTCATTATCGGTGGAGAATAGCCTCGGCCTGATCCGTGATCTATAGCCTCCAGAATCGAAAGAAAATGGCATTTCGGATAAATCGCCCGAAATCTGTGATGGTACCCCTTTGGATTCTGCCAAAAATTGACCAGGAATAAATCCACCCAAATCGGTGCTTAATGGACTCAATCATCGTTGGAGAATAGCCTCAGGCCGAATCCGTGATCTGTAGCCTTCAATATCCAAAGAAAACGGCCTTTCGTCGCCCAAGAAATTACGAAAATGCCATCCGAAAATAAATTGGCCCAAATCGATGCTTAACGGACTTATCATTCGTGGAGAATAGGATCAATACACTTCATTATCGGTGGAGAATAACCTCGGCCTGATTCCGTGATCTGTAGCCTCCAGAATCGAAAGAAAATGGCATTTCGGATAAATCGCCCGAAATCTGTGATGGTACCCCTTTGGAATCTGCCAAAAATTGACCCGGAATAAATCCGCCCAAATCGGTTCTTAATGGACTCAATCATCGTTGGAGAATAGCCTCAGGCCGAATCCGTGATATGTAGCCTTCAATATCCAAAGAAAAGGCCCTTTCGTCGCCCAAGAAATTACGTAAATGCCATCCGAAAATAAATTGGCCCAAATCGATGCTTAACGGACTTATCATTCGTGGAGAATAAGATCAATAGACTTCATTATCGGTGGAGAATAGCCTCGGCCTGATTCCGTGATCTGTAGCCTCCAGAATCGAAAGAAAATGGCATTTCGGATAAATCGCCCGAAATCTGTGATGGTACCCCTTTGGAATCTGCCAAAAATTGACCCGGAATAAATCCGCCCAAATCGGTGCTTAATGGACTCAATCATCGTTGGAGAATAGCCTCAGGCCGAATCCGTGATCAGTAGCTTTCAATATCAAAAGAAAATGGACTTTCGTCGCCCATGAAATTATGAAAATGCCATCCGAAAATAAATTGGCCCAAATCGTTGCTTAACGGACTTATCATTCGTGGAGAATAGGATCAATAGACTTCATTATCGGTGGAGAATAACCTCGGCCTGATTTGATGATCTGTAGCCTCAAGAATCGCAAGAAAATGGCATTTCGGATAAATCGCCCGAAATCTGTGATGGTACGCCTTTGGAATCTGCCAAAAATTGACCCGGAATAAATCCGCCCAAATCGATGCTTAATGGACTCAATCATCGTTGGAGAATAGCCTCAGGCCGAATCCGTGATCTGTAGCCTTCAATATCCAAAGAAAATGGCCTTTCGTTGCCCCAAGAAATTACGAAAATGCCATCCGAAAATAAATTGGCCCAAATCGATGCTTAAGGGACTTATCATTCGTGGAGAATAGGATCAATAGACTTCATTATCGGTGGAGAATAACCTCGGCCTGATTCCGTGATCTGTAGCCTCCAGAATCGAAAGAAAATGGCATTTCGGATAAATCGCCCGAAATCTGTGATGGTACCCCTTTGGAATCTGCCAAAAATTGACCCGGAATAAATCCGCCCAAATCGGTGCTTAATGGACTCAATCATCGTTGGAGAATAGCCTCAGGCCGAATCCGTGATCTGTAGCCTACAATATCCAAAGAAAATGGCCTTTCGTCGCCCAAGAAATTACGAAAATGCCATCCGAAAATAAATTGGCCCAAATCGATGCTTAACGGAATTATCATTCGTTGAGAATAGAATCAATAGACTTCATTATCGGTGGAGAATAGCCTCGGCATGATTACGTGATCTGTAGCCTCCAGAATCGAAAGAAAATTGCATTTCGGATAAATCGCCCGAAAACTGTGATGGTACCCCTTTGGAATCTGCCAAAAATTGACCCGGAATAAATCCGCCCAAATCGGTGCTTAATGGACTCAATCATCGTTGGAGAATAGCCTCAGGCCGAATCCGTGATCAGTAGCCTTCAAAATCAAAAGAAAATGGCCTTTCGTCGCCCAAGAAATTACGAAAATGCCATCCGAAAATAAATTGGCCCAAATCGATGCTTAACGGACTTATCATTCTTGGAGAATAGGATCAATAGACTTCATTATCGGTGGAAAATAGCCTCGGCCTGATTCCGTGATCTGTAGCCTCCAGAATCGAAAGAAAATGGCATTTCGGATAAATCGCCCGAAATCTGTGATGGTACCCCTTTGGAATCTGCCAAAAATTGACCCGGAATAAATCCGCCCAAATCGGTGCTTAATGGACTCAATCATCGTTGGAGAATAGCCTCAGGCCGAATCCGTGATCTGTAGCCTTCAATATCCAAAGAAAATGGCCTTTCGTTGCCCCAAGAAATTACGAAAATGCCATCCGAAAATAAATTGGCCCAAATCGATGCTTAAGGGACTTATCATTCGTGGAGAATAGGATCAATAGACTTCATTATCGGTGGAGAATAACCTCGGCCTGATTCGATGATCTGTAGCCTCAAGAATCGCAAGAAAATGGCATTTCGGATAAATCGCCCGAAATCTGTGATGGTACGCCTTTGGAATCTGCCAAAAATTGACCCGGAATAAATCCGCCCAAATCGATGCTTAATGGACTCAATCATCGTTGGAGAATAGCCTCAGGCCGAATCCGTGATCTGTAGCCTTCAATATCCAAAGAAAATGGCCTT